AAGGGTCCAGAAAAGCAGAGAGGGCTGTACCAAGTAGTGCGAAAACAATGGGGCAAATCATATTGTTCCTGAATAGAATGAGGTTAATATTTGATATGAACATTTACAAAGGCAAATTATAATACTGAATAGTTTGACCCTTAAACATTGTGAACTTAAAATCAGACAACAAAGTTATAAACTCAACAGACTTAAATTCTCAGCAAACGTGAAAAGAATTCAACTAAAAAAATGGAAAAGCTCAGCATCAGAGGTCATATACAGGGAATTAATATATGCAACAGTAGCGTTCCAACAAAACATAAATTGATGGTTTACCAGCGCAAACTAGGGTCTTAAATACGATAAAAGATTACTGGGCAAGGTCAGCCGCTTACGTATATCACAGTTAATACAGGGAGGGAAGCCACCCACGTCATAGATATTTTATAATTACTAATAGTATTACCGATATTATATTATACATATATATATATAATATATATTATTCCGTATTATTACTACATATTATGGTGCAGAGAAGAACTAGCAGTAGTGACCTCATATCCTTTGATTGTACTTGTTGTCGATGACGATTTCGGTGACGATTCATGTTACTGACATGACGTGATTAAATTCAGGTAATTATAGTTTATGCTATAGCGATTTATTTCAGACAAGATATAATTATATGATCAATGATCATAACACTTCAAAGACGGTCAGAACTTATCATGCAATAATATTATGACAAACCTGATGACGGCTCCAAACCCGAAAGCTGCAACTTTGAGATCATCGTCATAATTATTAATGATTCCTGCAAAACTATTTCATTTCATTTAACCACATTATTGATGGATTTTACGCTAACCCCGATTTAAGTTTTAACGTGGCTGTTTCTATCTCCTTTCTGCAAAGCTCTTCATCTCTGCATCTCCGGAAGGGTGTGGTTCAGGTGTCGAGAACGTCTCGGCCAAGGTGTACGAAAGTGATGCCTCCCATAATTTGATGCTGAAAGGATTTTCTGACCGATGAATTCTCTACTTTTTACTCTGGGACAAGGTCGTATCTCAGCAGTTTGACCCGGAATTTGCTTATGTACTGTCTCATCAGTCACCGTGTGAGCTTGTTGTCCCAATCATAGGCCTATAAATTATCCTGATTCGGAACAATATAATAGTACTATTATATCGCTTGACTCACTAGATTAATACGCTGTTCCAGACTAACTATTATTTGATTTTGATTCCATGAGCATTGAGATCGATTATCACAGTGCTGGCAAGCACGACCGGTGCATTTATTGTGGGTATACTATGTACCCCCTTTACTATTATACCCCCTTTACTATTATACCCCCTTTACTATTATACCCCCTTTGGTACACGTTACAAGCCTCTTTCGTGCACGCGAAGCGTGCACTCCGGCCGGAGGCGGCGGCCGAAGGCCGCCGCCTCCGGCAGGAGTTTTCAGGCATTAAGACTCATCGGAAGTCGTTCAGCAGATTTATTTTTAGTTCAAAACATTCTAATTTGATGTCAAAGATGACAGGAATAAAAAATAGTTATGTTGAGATTTTTAAGAAATTTGCATAAAATACTCGCCAGCACTGTTATACGAAATTCGGTAAAAAACCCAAAATCGCCATATTCAGGTGCCTTAAAAACCATGTTAAAATCGAGTTAGAGATCTGAAATTTTTCAGGGCGTCTAGACGTTGACCAAATCGACTGCAAAAAAAGTTTCAGGTTTCAGGAACATCGGGAAGTGGGTTTTCTAGAACCCCCGTTTTACGACAGATTGTCGTGATATATACATATATATATATCAGGGATAGACGCTTTGCCAGTCAATTGTAATCTGTATTTAAGTGTCCATAGATTCAAAAGTATAAAAGATACAGCCATTTCCGACCACAGGTCTTGCAAATAATTGTTTACACTTTAGTTTACATTGTATAAAAAAATTATTTGACGTCATAAACACCCCTTGATGACGTCATCAAGTTTACCGTTTTTAAAACTTGATTTTTGACAAAGTAATGACTTTTAAAATTAATTTTACACCATTAAGGAGTAATTTAACTCAAAATCTGAGGAAATTTTCACCTTAGATAATTGTTCAAGCATTCTGAAAATCTACCGGAAAGTTTTTCTAGCTTGCTCCTTCATAAAGATATTCGTCATTGAAGTTTGTGCTTTTTTGAAGAATTATTTTATAAAAACGTCAATTTTGCGATTTAGTATTCTCTGGTGTTGGCCCATGCCTTGGGTTGTGGAGCTCAGTTCTGCTTCCTATAGGTATAAATTGTGCATTAGGCTAGTTTTAAAGTTGAAAATCGAAAAGTTGCACACGTGGGGACACGCCCAAATTGATAGAAAATTGCTAAAATCACTGAAAATTGCTGTTTTCGTCATTTTCTGTCAACTTTAGAGTGCCGTTGTGATTACAGTTCTTCTTGAAATACTTTGAAACTTTGCATGCTGATTAAACTATATATAAAACAATTACATGCAAAAATTTACGGCGATTCAATATTGGATGCGCACGCAACGTCCGCTCAAAGTTTGCACGTGCGAAAGGTGAGAATTTTGCTCATTCGTGATTTCCAACAAATTCTGCTTTGCCACGACAGTTTAATGTCATTATATATGAATTTAATGCCAACTTGAATGAGTATTAAGTGGCATATTCAGTCAGTGATCGACCGATATGCTTCCCTAAACACAAGGAAATGTTTTTAAAGGAAAAATTTCGAAATCGTTGAAATTTCCTCCTTATTAATGAAGATATCAGTTTATATTTCGACTTTATAAAGTACCCTGACATTATAATCAAAAAGAGGTGATATTTTACCAAAACCCATAATCATGGGTAGAGTGGACCGCTGCCAGTGTCTCTCTTTCCCAAACAAAAGGAAATGATATTAATTTGATTGACCGTTCTCAAATGCAAAATGATACCGAGAATGAAATCGGTCGCTCGCTTTTCCCATTCATTTACAATTGTAATAGATTAAGAAGAACTGCCAAAAGGCAGCTGTACTCGGCAATAAAGATTCAATAAACTTCAGCTTATTCAATAAGTTATAACTACCACCCTTGTCCCTTACCCCGAAATACTAGGTATCGACCCGAACGCAACCCAAAGAGATTTTTACAGCATCTGATTGATGTAATCAATCGAAACTAATTTATACAATTCGTAAGCCGTGAATGAATGGTGGGAAAAGCGAGCGACCGATTTCATTCTCGGTATCATTTTGCATTTGAGAACGGTCAATCAAATTAATATCATTTCCTTTTGTTTGGGAAAGAGAGACACTGGCAGCGGTCCACTCTACCCATGATTATGGGTTTTGGTAAAATTTTCTAATACACTATTTACAAAATATGGTGAGGTAATTTCCTCGCAGGATTAAGCGTTGAATAAAACAATGGAGGGAGGGACTTAGTGAATTTGTTATCCCAATCATATTCATATGTCATAGGCTACATGAGCCGATAGCGTGCAGCAATAGTTACATGAATTGCAGAATGCAGCAGTGATTGCCATGGAATCATGAAATTGAAAGAAAACAAAAGTGAATCATCCAGCAATGAATGAAACGTTTGATGTTTTACTCCACAATAGTTACCAAGTGCGAAGTAAAACTTATCGCATCAAAATGGTAATAACAGCCAAATTTATATAATTGTACTGTCATATTTTGTACGGAAATGTAAAATATGACGTCCGCGATAAATAATTATTATAACAAGTTTTATCAATTGAGGACTTCACGCTTTAGTAAATTAAGTCAATCGTTTCACAATCAAATATTCGGCAGATAGAGAGGCTGTCGCCATCCAGTATATCAATATAACCTAATATTAAAAAACAAAATAGGGATAGGGATAGGGATAGGGATAGGGATAGGGATAGGGATAGGGATAGGGATAGGGATAGGGATAGGGATAGGGATAGGGATAGGGATAGGGATAGGGATAGGGATAGGGATAGGATAGGGATAGGGATAGGGATAGGGATAGGGATAGGGATAGGGATAGGGATAGGGATAGGGATAGGGATAGGGATAGGGATAGGGATAGGGATAGGGATAGGGATAGGGATAGGGATAGGGATAGGGATAGGGATAGGGATAGGGATAGGGATAGGGATAGGGATAGGGATAGGGATAGGGATAGGGATAGGGATAGGGATAGGGATAGGGATAGGGATAGGGATAGGGATAGGGATGTTTAGTTCAACTATATGTTTACACCTCATTAACTAGTATGAAGACGATGGCTACTAGGTTATTGGGTTAAATTAGGTTACCATGCTACTGTTCGAGTCGGACGCAGTCTTCAGATCTCTGGTTATCATTACGTAATGAGTTCTGACTTCTTTGATTTGTAAGTGCTATGGTGATATCATTCCTGGTTAAAGAACAAACCGTTAATGTTATAACATGCTAATTGCTAACGTGAATTTTATAACGTCAGAACGTCCGCATCGTGAATCGTCATCGTAGACTCGTACACAAGTACCAACGACCAGGATAAAACGTCACAATTAGTCCTTCTTTACACCATGACCATATGTAGTAATAATATAATATCATTATCAATGAAATATCAGTAATATGAGTAATATTATGAGTAATTATATAATATCTATGACGTGGGTGGCTTCCCTCCCCGTATTAACTGTGATATACGTAAGCGGCTGACCTTGCCCAGTATTCTTTTATCGTATTTAAGACCCTAGTTTGCGCTGATAAACCATCAATTTATGTTTTGTTGGATCGCTACTGTTGCATATATTTCCCTGTATATGACCTCTAATGCTGAGCTTCTCCATTTTCTTGAGTTGAATTCTTTTCACGTTTGCTGTGAATTAATTAAGTCTGTTGAGTCTATAACTTTGTTGTCTGATTTTAATTTCACAATGTTTAAGGGTCAAACTATTCAGTATTATAATTTGCCTTTGTAAATGTTCATATCAAATATTAACCTCATTCTATTCAGGAACAGTATGATTTGCCTCATTGTTTTCGCACTACTTGGTACAGCCCTCTCTGCTGTTCTGGACCCTTCTCTAACCGAATGGAGACTCTTGACTCAGAACGAAGAACGAGTCATGTTTCCCCTAAAAGACTACATCCTGGAGGTCAAAGCATTCCGTCCTGATGTCTACAACACTTACCCATCTTATGGCGAACTCTTCCGAACTGACAAAGCAACCACTATGATGATGTTACTTCAATCTGGAAACTGGAACAATAAAGTCGGTCGTTTGGTGTGGAATACCATCAAATACGACAGAGGATTTGATGTTAACGTTGAAGAATGTAATGCTAGATATCAAGCTTACAAAAGTTTCCCTGCCGGAGGGAAGAAGGAACAGATCTGGGCATGGAACTTCAATCAAGATGATGTTGAACTGACATGTGACGGAGAACTGCAATACTCTCAACATTTCGACGAGGAGAAGTTAATCCCAGAAAACCAGGTCTGCCACAAAGCTGTCGTGCACTTGGAAATGCTGATGTAGACAGGATTACTTTCAGACACATGGAGGGTTATTACATCCGTGGATTACCTATGGACAATAACAAGGGAACTGCCCCACCACCAGTAAAACCTACTACCAAGAAAATAACTACAGCAAAACCCACAACCAAGCAACCCACAACAGAAGCCTCTACTACCACAGTCACTCCTGATTCCGATGATTCTGATTACGATATAGAATACCCCACTTGTGACTGCTGGACTCCCGAATGTGGATATTGCACCAACATGGAGTGTACTGTGAAACAAGATCTGGCTACATCCGACAGAGGTATCCAAGTTACTTCCAAGCTAAGGAGAAAGAGAGAGAACTCAATCGTGCTTTTCGATGAGGACGCAAACGAAATCGGGAAATTCCAGTGGAACCTAAGGGGCATCTGGTTGACTGGCTGCATCACATGTATGACTCCTGTTCATTTAAGACGTGCTAAAGTTGACGAAGGGCAAACCACCTGGTCCTTCTCCATTAAAGACGGAATAGTTCGAATAACGATCAACGGTGAGCACCTCTACGAGCATACTCTAATCGGAGAGTGCAAAGAAAGATACGCCCAAGCTAAGAGGTTCGCTTTCTACGACATGACCTGTGAGAATACTTTCTCATATAGTCCTAGTGAGATGGAAGCTGGAGAGAGAATCACACCGGACTGTGCTGGCACATGTTCCGAACAGTAATATTATTAGAATGAAACATATTTGATATTTGATTTGCAGATGAACATTTAATTTAATTTTTTTATTAGTGACGGCCCCAACGTTAATGTGGCTCTTGCTATGTGTTGGTTCAGCCGAATTAATTATTATATAATCAAGTTTATTTTTCTCGTTAGTTGTCATCTGGCCAAACATTAAGCAACTTATATTGCAGTACCATTTATCATTTAGTACATCAAAATATGTCATTGTAACTTTGCATGGCTGAAATGTAACGCTTGATTTATATATATAATGATTAATTGAATTTTCAAATAAAAAATTCAATGATATTTGATAACTATTTGGTTAATATTTAGATGTTTTTTGGACTCAATTTAATTCAGCCATGCCTGCAAAAATATTATATTTATATTTGTATGTCTATTTGGATAGATGACATTCAATTAGAATGTCACTGTAATTTTGTTACGGGATGTTAACTGAAATGTATAATTTGTAAATTTTATTAATATCAAGTTTATTTGACGGTCATTACCTATATTGTATTTATAATCAATATTTTTACTGTAAAGGAATATATTTGATATTTGCTTTATAACGGATTGTATTTCTTTGATTCATCGGATAAATTCGGTATCAACAACAATTTTAATCTATGTAGATATAATTTAATAATTCATACGAATATTAAATTATTAAAAACATTCCACCGATGAGCATGGCATATCCGGGCTAGCTCGGGTCAGTTTACCAAATGTATAACACTACAGTCTGATGCTAGTCAGCTACAACCAAGCGGCAAGCATGTCTTAAGGGGCATACCCCAAAACAGTGGTTTGTGCCGTCCAGACCAAATGACCTCATAGGCAGTTCAGTGACCTTCTAGCGCACCGTTTCCACACAAAAAAAAATTCAGATAAAAAATCACATTTTCTCCCATATAACTTCAAAGGGAAGCATTTTAGGGTGTTTTGTTGTTCATAACTCATATATAAATGTGCTAGTTGCGGTTATTTTGCACCCTTCAAAAAGTCACTAGCACATTCCTATCAAAATTTTAGAAAAATCAGTAAATATTAAAAACGAAAAATGTGCCTAAATTTGTTGTTTGGCTTTGAGGTCCAATAGATCAGAAGGTGAATGAGTAAAAAAATTTTTGAGGGCATCAAAAACTGCGCCAGAATTTGTTTTAAAGACCCGAGGGCCACCCTTAAGGGCTTTGAAACCGGTTTATTGACAATATAATATATAATAAATAAACTGAAATCGTAACATTCATGTCAATACTAACTGAAATAATATTAGCTGTAGTTAAAATAATAATACTTACTGTCACTTAATTAAGATATATGATGTAATAAAATGAATCTCTTTATTTCCACACTAATTCTCACACCAAGCTTTAATTCACACACCAAAACTTTAAATTTTATCAGAATACAAATGTACTAATATATACGTCTCTTATCTTTTAGTTAAAAAGTCAGGGGTGCAGCCGTTTAACTTCAATTAAGATTAAAACAATTCATCACGCTGGATCACGACGTTATTCTATCAAAATCAGCTAGGCGTTATTTGAATTGATTGCTGGGCTCTGTGTGGTACTGTGTAGTGGTAAGTGGGTGTGTGTGCGCGTGGTTGTTATTATGATGCGTTGAGATCAGCTACGTTGATGATATGTGATTGTGCGTGTTGTGCTGATAAGGCTTGAATTGAGCAATGGCCAGGAGTATTATCAGTAAACTAGTAGCAGGTCTGGCAGTGAAAATTTTCCGATTTCAAAAGTGGTCGGTAATTATTAGTTTTGAAGTGCTTTTGTAACTAAGAAGTTTATTGAGTGAATGCCTCATGTTGTTTAGATAGTTTACTAATACTAAGTTATGTTGTGGGGTGTGTGATTTTGTGACCGTTGAGATTTCCTTAAACCTGGAATATTATTCAGTAAAAAGGTTTGCCAGCTTTCCTCGTTGTTGCCTCTTGATTGGTGTTCCAATAGCACACGTTTTGCATTAGACTTGTAAATGTTGATTGAAAATAAGCTGGGAAGACAAGTTATATTTAAGTTTGTTTCAGTGATGGCAAGCAGTGGACCTTTAAAAAAAAAAAAAAAAAAAAAAAAAAAAAAAAAAAAAAAAAAAAAAAAAAAAAAAAAAAAAAAAATATTCAGAGAACAATTCAGAGAACAATTTGATGTCAAGCATCAAATAATCCGATCTTCCCTGACTGACTTTTTGTTAAAATAAGCCTGAAAAGGACAATTTTAGCTTTTTGACTTTAAAAATTCATAACACACCAGCCTTTTTAGATACGATATCAAGATTTTACACACACCTTGACATAGATGTGAATAAACGGCGAGCAAAATTTCAAAGCGATACCGCAAGAAATGATTAACTTATAGCGTCTCAACCACAAAATAATTTTTTCCGAAAATTGCACTCTCAACCAGGAAATGCTCGATTACAAAAATGGGTATTCTCAAAATAATTTTTTTTGGTGTGGAAACGGTGCGCTAGAAGGTCACTGAACTGCCTATGAGGTCATTAGGTCTAGACAGATTTGGGGTATGCCCCCTTAAGGACGTTCCTCTTAGACAGTTTGCTATTACTGGATATATTCTACTATATAGTGCTTAAGCCTTAAGTGATAGAGCTTAAGTTATATTATTTCAAAGATTCTGTAAACAGTGCATTAAAATACACTTTTTATAAGACTATCACCGTCATGGTAAATGTAGTGGATCACGGAATCAGTATTCTAGAGAAACCATCTAATTCCTGGTGACAATAAACCATGGTTGGGAGAGACTATAATGCCAGTCTGTAATAACACTTATATTGAGCTGCAATCAACAAATAGGAAGACAGCTCTACCCCTGGTCTAGGATCTAATACAATGATATTATATCTACCCTAGCTATCTTATAATGTATATGATATCTTGTGCAATTAGTACACATACTACAGATATCTCCATAGCATTAACTAACAGTTGCTAATGAGTCACCACGCCGATATGGCTGCCGTGGTTAGTGTGTATTGACACTATCCTGTATCAGGGCCACTAGTGACCGGTACAGACAGACCCAACTTATCTATCAACACGTACAATGCACCATGTATGATGTATCACTGATTGAGCTAATAATGACCTAGCCAACTTACCATTAATATGTAATACAGCAGAACACCACTATTCAGGACAAATACACGAGTAACGAGTATGCGAGAACATTGACCTGTATCTTTTAAATTAACCCACTCTAGTTTTCCACCTTGTTACACTTAATTTGAGCAAATTTTCTTCTACATCACAAATTGGGAGACAACTGACAAGAATTAATTTTCGCACGGTTTTGACGTATTGTACCTTCGAATAGGTTATCAATTATTGCGACTGTCGCCACTGTTCCCTTCTTTCTTCTATTCGGTGGTGAAGAGTTGAAGGATAGAATCGAGAAAGAAACTGCACACTCGAATGCATGAAGTTTGCAATTAATTAATTAAATTCGATACATGCGGCGCGCGCACTGTTTTGCAGAGACACTTTAATTTTCTGCGCGGTACAAGAAAATAAATTCTGCGCCTCAGAAGTTCAACATTCGGTAGACCCTTCATGCTGACTATGTAACCGCCCAAGCAGAGTGTTACTGTATTACAAAGGAACGGTACTTATTACGATGACTTATCCTGATTCGGAACAATACAATTGTACTATTATTTTGTTTGACTCAATAGATCCAGACTAACTATTATCTGATTCAATGATGCGAGGTTGATTTTTCTTTCACTAAACACTTTATTATTTACGAAGTATGGTGCGGTAATTTCCTCACAGGATTAAACGTTGAATCAGACAATGCAAGGGGCCGGGGGCTTTGTGAATTTAGAGGACCGAAGGATTAAATTTTCCAACTTGAACTTTGAATGTAAAGACAGCTAAAAATAGATAACTCACATTTGTGGGAAAAGCTCACACGAACATACAGAAAAGACAAGAAACATGCATTTTTTGGAAATCACGTACGTTCACCCTTTTTCTCACTTCGCACTATTGAAAATTCATTAATACAGTTTTTCGGTTCAAGAGCTTAGAAAAAGTGATTATCATCATCTAATGAAATTAAACATAACTGATCAACAGCCTTCAAAATTTATTAATCAATCAAAATTTATGACTATTCCAAAATATATCATTTTAAAGTAAACCATAACTTATACATCACACTTTCCCAAAAAGATTTGACAGCAAATTTTAAGCTAAATTGGCACATGAAAGGTTAAAATAGCAATTAACTTCAACCCAAAATTCTGTACATCAAAAAATCTAAAGCGAAACTAATTGATAATTAGTCATTCTCTGAGAAGGAATGGGAAGAACAGCCGAACTTTGAAATAATGGGAATAATTTAATTAACAGTTGTATAAATATGTCAAACAAACGTAAGGGTGAATATATCTGTACATGATTTATAACGAATGGTGAGTATCCCAGAATGAACTTTAAGTCAGATTCTCAGTGGTACTCCTTTCGGGCGAAATAATCCCTGGGGGACTCCCAACCCATCGCTTCGGCGGGTAGTTGATGTACCTTTTACAAGCTAGAGCCTTTTTGGTCTACTTGCTGTGAGGTGTCTCAGCTACATGGGTTTGGGGTCCCCACATTTATTTTTTACTCCTCTAGGAATGTGTCATATTGTGACGTCATATTAATGATGACGTCATAATGTGCTATGTTGTGACGTCATATGTCCTAGGACACTCCCCGTGATATTATTAAGTTCTAAGTAGATCTAGGAAAGATCATGTTGCTGTCCACAAACAGTACACATAGTGTCTAATCAACTAACAAAAACTACATAGCTACCTGAATGAGTGCGCGCATGAAAAACGAAATCGTAAACAGAAATATAGTGAGCAAGCAAATGTGAAATTAATCGATTAAAGAAACTAATAGCAGTCATGTAAACCTAATTATATACTGAAAGACTATCAATTAATTAATCTCAATCTTTGAGCTTGATAAGGTTGTCGAGATAACGTTCAGGGGTGAGAATGTTGTCACTTCCTATAATCACTTCCCAGCCGTTTCTAGTGGTCTGTGTCTCACTTACCTGGTAAGTAATTAGTCGATTAGTACACATCAAATTAGTAATTAGTAATTAGTAATTAGTCAATTAGTAATTAGTATAGTACTGATGTAGATGTATTAAAGGAGTATTCTAAGAAGATTTATTTTAAATATTAATTACTTACATTCATAAATATAGATAACAGTTCGGAGGTGAGGCAAATTTGATTGTCGCGTGACAGTAATTTTAAATTTTGATTGGTCAAAATGGAAGCTAATTGGTAAATTGCTGTCACGTGCCAAAAAATATGCCCGACGAACCATTCAGAGACAAGCGATTAAATTAATTTGAGATTGATTCCTTGCATTGTAAGTGGTATATGAATTGCATAACCCTTACAATTAAAATTTTAATTATAATTTATTAGAGTTAATATTTGAATTATACGGCGATTTATTGTACTAAAGAGGCTCAGGTTATTGAGGTAGCCGGTATATCGAGGTTACACTGTAATACAATGCATCCCGTATTAATCACATTGTAGGCCATATAAAAGCTTTATTATATATATATAGCATACATTTATATTACAAATATATTTTTGCATTATTTTTTAATACAAAGCATCTTTGTTATATAAGTAAGATCAACGCTAAGGGACAAAACTCTGTGCGATAGAAAGGGGCTGGCTGGCTAGAATTCAAGGCTGGTTCTCATTGTTTGAGATCTCATCATTTAATGTCAATAGTTTGCAATAGAATTGAATAACTCAACAGTTAGGGCAGTTAACACTCACAATTACACACTAGCAATACACTAGCAATGTAACAGGTCATTACTCTTTTTTCCCGTTCCATAAATAAAAAGTCATTGGAAAAGTATCGAGCTCATTTTAACTGACTGACAGTCTGTGACAGTCTGTGGTGGTGGTAGAGGATTACTCTGCCTCTACCGCCGCCCTATCAGCAGGACTACAAGGTTTGACACCCAGCATCAGCGATACAGTAAGCATGAAGAGGAGTGGTAGTACGGTTCTGTAGTGCAATCAAGGATTAAGACATGACCGATATCAAGATATGCAATTATAGTGAGATATAGTGGCACTGCGTGGCACTGCGTGGCACTGCGTGGCCTTCTCGTGTCCCTAAATAGTGTGCAAATTACACTTTATTGGGACAACACCGTGTTCGACAGATTTGCAATTAAGTTGTCATACTTTTACCAGGTTAAAGTGAAATAAGGTGTCACATGATATTAATAAACCAACATATCATCAACTTTATCATCTGAATACAGACCACCATATTGTATTAATATATTGATACCTTATTCAACACTAAAGACATGGTAATACAATTTTTGTAGAATTTGTGGACCTCCAATATCCACCACCAGGTGCTGGCAGTTTATTTTACATATTGTTGCTGAGCCTCAGGCACTATTACAATCAAATAGGTAGTATCCTGTTACACCACAAAAGAAATCTAGAAAAAAAACAATCTTCAAAGGGAGCAGTGTAAGTAAGTTAAGTATTCCTTAAAATTTCTACAGATACTAACCTGATGAGCACATCTCATCTCACTGTAACTGATACTGCCCATCACGAATATGATTAGTTTGGGTCCAGTAGCTCGACCTCCCATCACTTGCTGCTTCTTCCCGTGTCCCCGCATCAGTGAGGTCTTACCCACCACGTCTATATCACCGTCATTCTGAAGAGAAGTGTCGTCAGGGCTCCTTTTAAAAGTTAAGGCTATAATTTGAGGCTACATTTAAAGTATATTATGTGAAGTGTTAGGCTATTATATAATATTATATCATACGAGGCTATATAATATATGTATGTGAGGCCATGACTGATATACATGAGGCTGTGTAAATGATGTTATTCGTGATCCTCGAATAGATCTGATGAAGTGCAGTTTGTGAGGCTATAAATAGATTTACTCTAACAATTTACTGTAATACCACTACTTCTACTAACTTAAAGTAACTGACCTTGATCTTTTTATATCGGAGTGGTTTCTCATTTGAGATTCGTTTGTTTGCAGTGGTCCTTTTATTGGATTGATTTGGTGGTGATGTGGTCCTTCTATTCGGGAGTGATATGATCTTTTTTCTTGATGGTGGGTTTAAGGTTGGTGATGTGATCCTTTTGTGTGAAGGTGATGTGGTATGTTTCCTAGGTGATGTGGTATGTTTCCTAGGTGATGTGGTATCTTTCCTACTCTCAGGGGCGGGTCTCTCTTCGCCCTCGTGATAATAAGGTCTGATTATATGGTTAGTAAATGATGAGATTGTGGGCGTGGTTTCTACTTTTGGCTGAAATAGAACTGCTTGATGAATGAAGTTAGGTGCCAATAAAATAAAGGAGCCAATAATGAAATGAATGATGCATTAGCTGTGAAGTGATCCGGGCTCTATGAACTGTTAAGAAAATAAATAAATGGGCTCTGGAGATGATCACCGGAAAATTTGGAGCAAAATGATCAATTTTATTGCTCTCTAGCTCTGGGACTTCGCCCCCCGACTTCCAAACAGGTTAAATTAACCTCTCCCAATCCAAATTTCCTTCAGGTTAATCTTATCACTTGAACTTTTTCAAAATTGAACCTGGCTTCGAAATTTTAACGTAAGGAAGGTACTTATTTAATTTACAGTGGTGGTCACGTGATGCTATGTGGTGGTCACGTGATGCTACGCTACCCCTCGTACAAGCTGCTCTGGTATAATCCGCAAAGCATTAATGGCTCCATTACCTACACCAACTAATGGATATTTTGCCGCTCTATGATGGATCTAACCATTTACCATACCATCGGAAAGACAACAGAACCGCTCGTTTTTGTGATTACACATACTTTACTACCATAATTCTATTGTACGAGATCGTGGTCGCGTACCACCTTTACAATGATCAACAAGTCGGCTAGTCACAGTAACGTTTTCTCTATTCAGGAAAATGGTTTTGCTAATTCCGTCGCGTCTCCCAATTCATTGTTCCTTCGACATTTCGCCATACGAGCCCACAAAATACTGGAAATTTGCGTTTAACACTATAAAGAGATGTGTACATTATTAATATTGAGGCGAAATCACGGTCCTAAATATCTATTATGGCATAATTTCCTCAATTTAACCTCAACACTCCCAGATTAACAACCTCCCCCAGGGCAGGGTGGTGAGTGTTGAGACGCCTCCTAACAGTCATTACCTACTACTACCTCACTAGTCACTACTACCTCACTATTGATACACATTTAGCTGTCACGTGATCCACCTGCCCATTGTCGAGCCTAATAACCTAACTTACACCAGGCCAAGATATCGTATTTCAAAACAGAGTGTTGGGAGTCAATGTTATGTAAATTGATACCGAGTTAGAAAACTATTTACATGACATCCGGTGCTCTACGTATTGGTAATTGGTTACTAATGAGTTGGTAATTGGTTACCAATGAGTTTTCAGTGCATTACTTTAACTAATGACGATCAGTTGGAATGCTCACAGGGTAGCCGGGTAGGATCATCTAACAGATTTAGTATAATCTATGAAAATCATTAGGGTAATTTTCGACCATCTCCGACCCATTTATATGGTTAACAAGCGTGGACATATTCTCGTGGACATATTCTCGTGGACACTACTGTGGACACTACTGTGGACACTACTGTGGACACTACTGTGGACACTACTGTGGACACTACTGTGGACACTACTGTGGACACTACTGTGGACACTACTGTGGACACTACTGTGGACACTACTGTGGACACTACTGTGGACACTACTGTGGACACTACTGTGGACACTACTGTGGACACTACTGTGGACACTACTGTGGACACTACTGTGGACACTACTGTGGACACTACTGTGGACACTACTGTGGACACTACTGTGGACACTACTGTGGACACTACTGTGGGCACTACTGTGGACACTACTGTGGGCACTACTGTGGACACTACTGTGGGCACTACTGTGGACAGTACCCTCTACCTACACCACCTCAGTTATCCCATATAAAGACACTTCAACTTAAGCCAGGGGGCCCCCTTGCTCTGCTCCATAATTATACCCATACAACAACATAGTGTCACTAGTGAACAATAGTGACACACAATGGCTCCCTCGTCCAGGGCTGGCCTTTTGTTAGAATATCAGTGTATGGGGTTAGAACTAAGGAGACTGGAGACATTGTAATATTATGAACATTTTAATTTATCTATGCAAAGTATAGCGTTATAAGGCGGCTCTCAGAGTGGAATTCAGCGTTACAATGTTACAACCGTTCCCGTTGGAGGCCTGATTATTGATTGATCTGAAACTCGCATTACAGAATTTTAGAATTTAGACTAAAATTGACGCCAAGTCCCCCAGAAGTTACAGCCCAACATTTTCTTGGCTACTATTCTGTGATAGGCGACGTTAACTCGTATCTACCTATATCCCGAAAGTACAGGGTCAGGTTGGGACGCATAGTTTTCAAATTCAAAATGTGACGCATGAGAGAAATAACTACATTCCACACGCCCAGTTTCGACTATGTAAGTGAGAAACACAGGCAGGAAAATGTTTTAGACTACAAATTTGAAATCAGAATTGGTAAGAAAGCCAACGAAAAATCAAAAATAGTTGGCTGAGTCTGGTTTGTAGTCTTACAAGATCCTGTGTAATCCTGTGTAAGCACACCATTAGCTTCACAGTTCATGCAATTATTCTAATCTAATATATCTACCCTACTGTGTTTAAAATGACCTACATTATGTTTACCTGTGATTCAGCGTGGAAGAAAGGATAGTGAGAAGTATCAAGGTTCTTCTCGTGGACCACTGCCTCCATAATATCCATAACTACGGGGGTCCACCGCGACGTCTCGAATACTCCCGATGTGTCCCGCTCTTTTCTGGGAGGTTCCTGGAATGCAGACGTGTAGGTATGTGAAGACATAACAACAAAGCCTTGTTGTTGTTGTTGTTGCAACAGCATAGTTTCAAGCTTTTACGCTTTTGTCTACAAAGCAAAGGATGTGTACGGTGTAATGATGTTACAATCTGTTACACGTCATTTTGAGAAAACTATAAATTCTTCAGCTTTTTTTTCCTCCGAAAGACATTGATCAAATTGTAACTGGCCACAGAACATTGAAGAATGAAGGCTAATAAACAAAGAACTGCTTACCCTTCTGTCCTGAATCTCTGAAGTTCCGAATATATCAATACCCAGATCTATCATGTTGTTCACAGCTTTCTCCTCCTTCTTAATCTCCGCTCGCTCAATCAGTTTCAGTAGCGTTTCTTTGGTCAGGTGTTTACCCAAACCTGGAAAGTTGAGGCATCTCAATAAACCTCCCGTTAAATTAAACGAGGCACTTTATTTCAATGAAAGCGACAATTTCATTTATTGTTAGTTGTTTCTAGCTAAATACGAAGTGGGTGTGACGCCGAGGTGTGCCTCCAAAACTATTGCCACTTTTCCTGATTTTAGGTGAAGTGTAGTATTGGTAAATGGTGTGCTATCTTTACCAATAATCAAAACTGAATAACCTCCACAATTTGCATCCATATATTAATTAATAAACCCTGACTTTCTTGTAAAATCATACCTCGGAGCAGTATTTGAGACATAATCCAAATCACTACCAGGTAACCAGGTGGCCAATTAGCGCGCAAATAAAAAGTCACGTGGCAACTTAACTCCGCCACATAATTTAAACTCACTAATATCCCATGATTATCTGGAGCTGGAGATAATTAACTGAGATTCCCGCTCCCCAACAATTTAGAGATAAAAAGAGGTTAACTGATGACCACGGAAATTGCTGGAAATTGCTGGAGGAAGAGAGGTTAGACCTGTTTTCTTTTGTCTTGGTGGCCCTGTTAAACTCTACTTAGCTTAAAGCTAATCTCTGTCTTATAGTTATCATCCAGGGTCAATGGCGCCTCATAATTTCTTACAAGTGTTTTGGTGGTGAGGTAGAATTATGGTAGCCAGAAGAGGGAAATAAATGATGAGTTCATGCTAATTTCAGAGATATAGGTTGCTTTGTTGGGATTGGTATGTATTCTGATGTCGAACTTAATAGTGAGCTTCATCAGTTGTTTATGTTAGTAGTTGTATTCTTTAATAGTTGTAGTCTTTAATAGTCAGCAAACTTCTACCGGGTGCATTGATTGAGAAACAAACTTAGTTTTACAATGTAACTTCCGTTGTTTTCCGTTGTGTCCGAACATAGTCATCATTAATTCTTATTGCCCCCCCCCCCCCCCCCCCCCCCCCCATTTATTCACTGCAAGTCGTCTAAATTCCTCTATGCAATATAATTGAAAGTGGTGGTTTGCAACCCTGTACAGTCTTAACTGAAGTGGATATAAATTAACAAACATTTTATCATATATTATACTTACTAAATATATATGTAATATATATTATACTGACTAAACGTCAGTTTTAAAACTAAACAAGGTGTGATATTGGGCGTTATGTTACGGAGCTGAAACGTAATGACATCATGTTGTATGCTCTACACAACATCTGCGTTTCAGCAGAAATAATATAAAGAAGATAAGTTGCTATGTAATGTTTAAATCCAGGGAACTGAGGGTTCGCTAGAAATGATGCAATGTTTTATTTGTAACTTGGGAGTGATTGAACTGGAGTTACTATCTTTGTCGACATAGTGGTGTTAATGGAAATTGGAACGTACCCAACCTTTCAGCAGTGATATCAAGATGGTTATTACCAAGATGGTTTCGGTAGAAATAATGAACTGATTTGTTTTAAACACTGGTGTAAACACTGGTGTAAACACTGGTGTAACTTGTAATATTAGTGCAAGTGGTAGTTCCAATTCTTAATAATGATACCCTCAATAGAGTAGCCTCACAGAAGACAACGAACAGTTAGAGATGGAATACTTTTTAACTTCTGTGACGGAAAATAAAAGGTAAACAGGAAAACAGTACTTTTAACACCAAGATATTATTTAAGTATTGGAAGTTTAAAATCTCCAACACAAGAATACAACCCACGAGTTAGCTCACAACTATTTCCATTCATTACCAGCTGCAGAGTGCAAACACACCGGCAAATAAAGTTGCAATAATTTACATTTACATTTACAAACGCATTATATTACATAATATATAAAGTATTATATAACAATTTATTATATGTCATCAACTGTATGTCATAAACTAGACTCAATGTACTCAAACACACAGGACAAGGTTACAGAGTTACAGGCGCATACTTTGACAAAATCAACGTTTGTTTTTGTTGTAGAACCCTGAGGGGTTGGCATTTCGCCATATAAAAGAGCACCTGTCCCTGACCTTGATTGACGTCCCTCATACGTGACTAACATATCACGTGGTTAATCACGTGGGCAATCTATCCGCCTATCTCTCCACACGATACATAATAAACACAGCTTGATAACTTCATAGCAGTTGAATGTTTAAGAAATAATAAACAGCTTGTAATACGATACCAGCTTGAGTTTTATACAGGACATTTCCATCAGCGCTCAGTAAAACTTTTGAATAATCACACGGAAAACACTACTCATAGCAATATTATATTATATTATTTTTAAATGTTCCCAACATTATATTTAAATATTATTCTCACTGTGAGTTCCTAAAATTTTAATTTTTTAAATGTAACCGTAAGCAAATGTACGTTAAATTCCGCTATTATCTAACAAAAGTCAACCCACCTTTTTTGTTGAGCACGTAGAGGATCAACACACGTAGTTTCTGGTAGTGGGTAAATAGAGGTCCATTATTCTGGGGCACAAATACTGGGACACATGCTTTAACGAACCTCTCACCTGAACATAATTAGTAATTAATAATTAGCTAATTATTGGTTTTACTTTATTATATCGGTCAGGCTGTTGTTGTCTGCACGCAGCACAGGTCTTTGTTTGATTATATATGCTGTCATTAACCACAAAGTCGTTGTAAAACAACGCGGTAATTACTGATCAGCAAGGACAATTTGAGCTAAATGATCCGAGACAACCGAGAAAATTGTTTGGCAAACAACGGCAAACAATGGTTAAATTAAATTGTTAACTTGATGAAGGAGCACAATGGTTAAATTGATCGTGATGCAGTAGCCACGCTACTACATACAAAGGAAATATTCATAGTTTCGCAACATGGCGAATGATTGTTACAGTAATAATTAAATAATGTTAAAATTAAATAATAGTAAAGGTCCTTACCAATAGGTTTACCAGTGCTGTCGAACCCAGTTGACATGTCCTGTTCTAGTTTTACCGCTCTCTCTACTGTCCCTGTTGTTTACTTTTTAGCGAGAATATTTGAACTGAGTATAGAGTGCTGAATGCACTATGAATATCGTGTACATTTAAATCTTTAAATCTTTAAAGTTTGCGTGTCCCCCCTAGCTCAGTAAATTTATTAAAAAGCTTTTGGAAAATAATCATATTCAATATTTGCTGTAGCCGGGTAGCCCGTTCATGCTAAGTACCCGTTGATGTGTGTCAAATATTAAACACCTTGATCAACTAGTTCTTTGCTCTACTTTATGCAAGATATAACATTAATCAGAAACGTCTATAAAGAATTCATCCTTAAGTACAGTATAATACAAAATGTGGCAACGATTTTGCACATGAATCTAGCAGTTCTGCAGCATCTTTGTTATGGTACCAATGGTATCATAACATATTAGGAGCCGGTTATAAGCCGGTTAAATATCGTAAGTGGTAACTGGTAAGCTGCTAAATCACCAGATAAAGAATTTTTATTTGATAACAACGTGTTAACTGTAACTGGATAACCGACTACCTTGTAAAGAACATTGCTTGTTTTTCTCTAGAGCTTTATTAACACTTGAAACAAATTTTTAACAAAAAACAAAACCTTTAAATTTCCCGAGCTTACCGCTGTTGTAGGCAGTCATACAGTCCTCAGCAAGTTTAATGAAGGAGTTCAGGTTAGCTTCCTCCCTCTTATACTTGGGCATCTTGTTGATCATACTTTTCATATCGAGCATACTGTTTGGGTCACCGCCTCCACTACCACGCAGGTTCTGGGGAGAAAGTGTTAAAGTGAGCCTGTTTGCACTGTTGACTATCTATAACTGTAGCTAGTACTTTAGCAACACCCCCCCCCCCCCCCCTCCCCCCGCAACATTCCCACTACAAGGGACCATTGGTAATGACTCTTTACCTGCTTTGATGAAGTTCTATTTAGTAACGTGACTATCTAGTATCTGTATCTAATACTTTAGCAATATTGGGGTATTGTAATGGTGGCTGGTTACTTTTCAGTTAAAGGTGTGGTACTTGCAATGCTTTCCTTTGAACCTGCTAACTGAACAGTGCATAATATAGACATTACGTGATGATCGAACTAACAATTCTGTGGGAAAGTGACCTGACTGGCGCACCGAAATCATTAAGACTCATTTATTATAAGTACTCAGCATTATTAAACGACAAATGTATCTCACGAGGGGGCCTATTAAAATGATGACCTAACCAGATCTACAGATCAGTTCTGTAGATAATGATACAGATCAGTTCTACAGATCAGTTCTGTAGATAATGATACAGATCAGTTCTACAGATCAGTTCTACAGATTATGATATGTATCCCCTAAACCCCCAGCTGCAGTCTGACCGTCTGCCGTGATTATCACTGGGGCATGGAATATTCTAGACCTGATCTGACGTCAATGAATAGGTTCGGTGACCAAGACAACCATAGCGTTGTGGCTAACTCATGAGTTCTTGAAAATAGGTACGAGACCAAGTTATAGATCACACGTGATACAAATTATTACAGACGGCAAAGTTTATCGACGTGTTCTTTATTCAAGTTTATCAAGGCTGCTGCTTAGAGTCACGCTTAGCAGTTAATGACTCACGCTCACTTCCTTGAGCATGCTGAGCCAATGAGCCAGCCCAAGAGATCATAATATATGCGGAATGATATTATTGTTTGCCAGTTAAACAGCAATTAGTCACACATGATAAAAGCGAGCCTCTCTCAAGTGGGGGCACGGAGCTATGTGAACATGAGCTTATTGTAATTGTTGCTTTCAGAGGTTGAGGGTCGATAACATGTTCTTTACGTGGCTTTTTGTTGGTCCTGGATACGTTAGTAGAATTGATTGATTGATTGATTGAGGAGCACTACCCGAAGGCATTACTCGGCACTAACGCCTTAAAATCTTTAATTACAATCAAATATAAATATATGCACACAATGTATAAAATATTAATAATGTATAAAATATGATTACGCAATTAGCAAATTTAAATAGTACTATTAAGAATTTGAAATAACTCTTATCTCTTGACATAAATTTAGAACAGCGACACAGGGTCTGAAGAATGCGCGGTGATATTTTTATCTTTTAAAAGTTGTAAATGACAGTGAAATTGCGCTGTAGCGATAGCATTGTAAAAAATGCTCGAAGATAGTCATATTTCGTTATGAGGTTAAAGTTTTGTTGCTCGTTATTATGATCAACGTATGTTGTACCAAATTATTTAAATTTCTAAAAGTACGAAATTTGAGTTGTTCCAGTCCTTGTCATCCGGGTTAAGTGCTTGTGCAGTAAGCACATGCTTGCTGACTGTAGACTTGAATGAATTTAGGAATTTGTCTTGTAGGCAAGTGGTGACGTATTTTATGTCCTTGTTAATAATGTTGACTGTTTTGTTATATAACTTAGGCCCAATGTAAGAAATGCTCTTGTCTGAATTACATAAACGGTTAAATGGTACTGCAAAGAACTCAGGTTCTCTTCTAGGTGCGTTTAAGTTTGAAACAGTGAACATTCTTATAATATTTGGTGGTGCAGTGTTAGAATAAACTTTGTGCATTAAGCATAATATACATTTAGCTATCACGTTCGGTAAAGCTAATACTTCTAGTTTATTGAAAATTTCCTTTGTGTGTGAAGGTGTGCTATTCAGATCTTTGTCATAAAAGTAGCGGTGGTATTGGTTATCTGCAGCGCGAATGCCCTTTTTCTGAGCCGAGAAGACTCTTTTAACGGAGTTTAGCGATCTTGTTCCCCAAACTGTGCAGCAATAGTACAAGTGAGACTGAACAAAGCTGTTGTATATCAACTTGAGTGCTTTGTTAGGTACTGAGCCTTTGAGTTTGTAGAGAATGCCCGCATTTCTAGATACTTTAGTGGCTAAATGTCTAATGTGGTGGGCCCAATTTAGCTTGGTATCAATGATCACGCCAAGAAACTTTTCGTGATAACTTTGCTTTAGTCGTTCACCTCCCATGTAGATTTCTATATCCTCAGTTTTCTTATTTGTAAAGATCATATATTTAGTTTTGCTAGCATTTAATTTAAGCCCGTTATTAGTAGCCCAATCAATTATCAAAGTCAGAATCTCATTCACCATTGCATTAAGTTGTTCAAAAGTATCTGTACTTATTATTAGGTTTGCGTCGTCAGCGAAATAAATATGTTTAGCTAAATTACTAATCTGAGGAAGGTCGTTGATGTAAATTATGAACAGAATTGGTCCGAGAATGGAGCCCTGTGGAACTCCGTAGTTAAGTTTGAGGTGAGAGGACTTGCAGTTGTTGACGCTCACGTATTGCTCTCTATCGGTTAGATATGAGTCAAACCAAGATAAAGCCAACCCCCGAACTCCATAGTGCTCAAGTTTTCTCAGAAGAATACTGCTGTCAACCATGTCAAAGGCCTTGCTGTAGTCCAATAGAAGCAGTGCTGTGACCTGCTTTTTTTCTAGTGCCCTGTGAATATGGTTTTGGGCTTCTAGTAAAGCATGTTCGCAGCTATGCCCAGCCCGAAATCCGTATTGAGAGTCAAATAGGATTTTCTCTGTCTTTAAGTGATCTAATAACGGGTGGTTGGTTACTAAATAAATAAAATAAATAAATAAATACTACTTACTGATTTTGTAATATTTGGGGCCTGGAGTGAGGTTGGAATAACATGAGGTTAATGCTGAATTGGGCCACTCAGGGATAATTCACTTGAATCCTAACTCTAAAGGAGCAGGCCAGAATCTGATTTCACCCGCCCCGTGCCGCTTATTTCACGTTATTCGTTCGGAACACGACTTTTAACTCTCGGAGATAAGATTAAAATTTGTTGAGGCTTTCCATTAACTGTCGGAGTTAATTTAAGATCTGCGAAAATATCACTCCGATGATTATGCCGACACCTAGTTGAGATAAGGAGTTGTAAAACTAACTGAGACATAGAGATTGTTACCCTCATTAGCTGATCTGCTGAAATGTATTCTAATAATTAAGATCTGTTGGAATTTATTCTAATAATTAAGTAATTAGCAAATGATCAGACTTGTTAAAAGCACCCAGTCTACTTAGTCTGATGTCATTAGGACGACTCGCTGATCTATAATAATATGGGAGGATTTAAATCGACATTCAAACCTCAGTGCGATAAATCGTCTTTTGGGAGTGGGAGCTTGTGCGGTTATTAAACTACTATTTCTAGGGGTTGAAAGCCTGTGGAACTGCCTGCTTCTAAAATTAGAAGTTATGCTTATCTGCGAAGTATTTCTCGTATAATGCAAACTTACGAGCCTAATACTCTAAATAGAGGGGCAGCCCCCGCTGTACATTAGTATATAATACTGTTGTTGAATGGTGTTAGTTACAGGTTGAAGAATATTTTCCAGATGAAAATGAACATGATCTGCCTCATTACTAGATTACACTATTGTTTAGATTTAAATCGAAATCTCATTAGTTTTGGTAGTTTTTAAAGGTATATATCTTAAGTTTTACCTTAATAATAAATATAGTCCACCTTGTCACTATTCTGTAGACAGCACAACGGATTTATATAATAATTTAACTTTTCCTTTTGTTGTGCACCAGTTTAATATTTTGGTTAATATTAATGCTTAAATTTCTCAATTTTATTCAAGTCTCCCTTTTGTTTTCATGCGGCAAGAACATTTCATGGACCGTTATAGACTCGCCCCCGCTTTTAATGCATATGAATTTAAAAGAGAAAATTAGATCACCCTGCAAACTAAACATTCACTCAAATACTTGCCAAGACTTTACAACACCGTGGACAGAAAATAGTTCTGTTGCAACTTGCAATAAACGATGTAAAATCTCCAAATTCCTTCCGTTAATGATGTTTGACGGAGAAATCACGAACATTGTTTGTGATTTTCCCACCAAAAACCTACTAATTCACATGTCAGTAACTCTTTTGTCAAATTAACTATCTCGGAAACGTTTTGCACAGACATTGAAATACGGTCTAGACATTTCAATTTGTCGGTTCGACAATGAACTATTAAAAAACAGCCATTTTTTTCTGCGTAAAAATATGCCATGGCTGTATTTTATAAGTTGTTGGATTATTAGAATCATTAAATATTAGAACTATTTAATAATAATATTATTAGTATTGTAGGATCATATATTGAAATTTAAAAGATTCCTGATTAATCCCTTGAAATAGAAAACACGCCTGGACTAACAAACAAACAACCCCACTAACTTATAACTTACCGCATATTTGTCCATGAGAGCATTTGTTTTCTGGTTAACTATCTGCAGTACTGTGCTGATGTGATGGTGCCTCAGTTCTCGCCACACTTCGTTACTCGTGTCAAGGATTATCTGAAGCATTAATTAACTTACAGCTTAAATTACTGAACTTTTAGTTTGGGAATTAAATCTTGTTGTAGGAATTCACTGAAAATATAATCTTAAATTCAATTCAGGACTGTTTTGATACAGTAATGTAAACATTTACACAATAATAAACGAATATTTAAATATATCATTTTTCATCTTCATATTATATTAATTGATTATAGATACGGGGATTTAAAAATAAAATGTAGGGGGACTTGAAGTCAGTACACATACGTTGGATCTTATGGCATAGCCATGTTTCATATTTGAGACCAGTAACTTTGCAGATGTTATATAAAGATAAATACTGCTCATTCGAGGATTCAGTCGCCAATTTTCAGAGACCACACCCAATCAACATTGAATTGCTTTTACTAGTGTTTGCGAAAGCCGAACACAATCCATTACAATTTGACTGGATCCAATCATTTAAAATATCTAAAAACCGCAAAAATAAACGTTCATTTTTCCAAATGAACATCTTTATTTAATTATTTGATTTGACAAATTCCTCGAATAAATGATAATAGCAAGTCATACCAGAGAGATTTATTTCAATAAGGCACGACTGAGACCCAACGTATGTTAACTAACTGCCCTTCCTGTACCTCTTTCTTATTATCGTCTAAAGAGCTGTCTTTTGTTGAGTCGAATGTGTAGGTGTTTTTAACAGGATCTATCTTACTGCTTGCAGCCACTGAAAAATTAATATTTATTAATATCTATTATGATAAAAGTTTACAATATGAACCATTATTTGAGATTATTAATTCGCCAAATATTTCAGCTATGAATGTGTTTGTGATAGTGACGATACTCCTCTTTCGGTCAATAGTTATCGAAGGTATTTTTATAAACACTTTGAGATCAAATCATTTTAAATACTGTTTAGTTGAACACACACTATTGGAAAGTTCTGGAATCTATTTCAATGGTCATTTTACAAGAAATAAGGGATGATATTTGAATATGACACCGTTCAGGAGAGGAGTATGGTAACATAGCGAGAAAGGGAACTCCGTCCCAAATTGACAGTCACCAGTATGGTCCCGCAAGCAAGGCTATAGACGGAACATCGGCTTCGGAATGGGACGATGACTTCGACATGTTTAAAAATGGATAAACTTTTCTTTCCATTAATTCTATTCAATATTGATAATGATCAATATTCTAGCCCGAGTAGTGTTCGAAAGGGCGCCCTGTTTTGACATACCTCCTGAGCCGGTACTCATTTCCTCTCTGAGCTAGCTAGTGTATATCAGTTTCTTGTTGGTGTTTTGTCTGTGTTTATTTGTCCGTAGTAGGAATTTACTGTAACTTTGGAGACTGGGCGCAGTAATGTCCCAGAGGGTTTGTAACATCATGGATGCTGACTAAGCTTACCTGATCCTCTCCAACTTGTATTAGTACACTACTTCATTCACACCAGTCATTTCACTACATTAAACTGATTGAGGTTATGCCCTTTGTACATGCTGAAGCGATATGCTATGATGAGTGGAATATGAGTTAGGATCAGTTTGGTCCGTTTCATGGCAAAAACATTTATTGATTTTGTATTAACCCTTCGGGGCTTGCGTGACCCTTATCATAGAACTGGTTTTCAGGACTGGCAGTCTGACCTATTGCCTTGCCAGCATAGGTGTACTTATATAGTTTTGCATGGTTCAGTTGCATAGTAGTGTCCGAATTGCACTGATTCTAGCCCGAGTAGTGTTCGAAAGGGCGCCCTGTTTTGACATACCTCCTGAGCCGGTACTCATTTCCTCTCTGAGCTAGCTAGTGTATATCAGTTTCTTGTTGGTGTTTTGTCTGTGTTTGTTTGTCCGTAGTAGGAATTTACTGTAACTTTGGAGACTGGGCGCAGTAATGTCCCAGAGGGTTTGTAACATCATGGATGCTGACTAAGCTTACCTGATCCTCTCCAACTTGTATTAGTACACTACTTCATTCACACCAGTCATTTCACTACATTAAACTGATTGAGGTTATGCCCTTTGTACATGCTGAAGCGATATGCTATGATGAGTGGAATATGAGTTAGGATCAGTTTGGTCCGTTTCATGGCAAAAACATTTATTGATTTTGTATTAACCCTTCGGGGCTTGCGTGACCCTTATCATAGAACTGGTTTTCAGGACTGGCAGTCTGACCTATTGCCTTGCCAGCATAGGTGTACTTATATAGTTTTGCATGGTTCAGTTGCATAGTAGTGTCCGAATTGCACTGATTCTAGCCCGAGTAGTGTTCGAAAGGGCGCCCTGTTTTGACATACCTCCTGAGCCGGTACTCATTTCCTCTCTGAGCTAGCTAGTGTATATCAGTTTCTTGTTGGTGTTTTGTCTGTGTTTGTTTGTCCGTAGTAGGAATTTACTGTAACTTTGGAGACTGGGCGCAGTAATGTCCCAGAGGGTTTGTAACATCATGGATGCTGACTAAGCTTACCTGATCCTCTCCAACTTGTATTAGTACACTACTTCATTCACACCAGTCATTTCACTACATTAAACTGATTGAGGTTATGCCCTTTGTACATGCTGAAGCGATATGCTATGATGAGTGGAATATGAGTTAGGATCAGTTTGGTCCGTTTCATGGCAAAAACATTTATTGATTTTGTATTAACCCTTCGGGGCTTGCGTGACCCTTATCATAGAACTGGTTTTCAGGACTGGCAGTCTGACCTATTGCCTTGCCAGCATAGGTGTACTTATATAGTTTTGCATGGTTCAGTTGCATAGTAGTGTCCGAATTGCACTGATTCTAGCCCGAGTAGTGTTCGAAAGGGCGCCCTGTTTTGACATACCTCCTGAGCCGGTACTCATTTCCTCTCTGAGCTAGCTAGTGTATATCAGTTTCTTGTTGGTGTTTTGTCTGTGTTTGTTTGTCCGTAGTAGGAATTTACTGTAACTTTGGAGACTGGGCGCAGTAATGTCCCAGAGGGTTTGTAACATCATGGATGCTGACTAAGCTTACCTGATCCTCTCCAACTTGTATTAGTACACTACTTCATTCACACCAGTCATTTCACTACATTAAACTGATTGAGGTTATGCCCTTTGTACATGCTGAAGCGATATGCTATGATGAGTGGAATATGAGTTAGGATCAGTTTGGTCCGTTTCATGGCAAAAACATTTATTGATTTTGTATTAACCCTTCGGGGCTTGCGTGACCCTTATCATAGAACTGGTTTTCAGGACTGGCAGTCTGACCTATTGCCTTGCCAGCATAGGTGTACTTATATAGTTTTGCATGGTTCAGTTGCATAGTAGTGTCCGAATTGCACTGATTCTAGCCCGAGTAGTGTTCGAAAGGGCGCCCTGTTTTGACATACCTCCTGAGCCGGTACTCATTTCCTCTCTGAGCTAGCTAGTGTATATCAGTTTCTTGTTGGTGTTTTGTCTGTGTTTGTTTGTCCGTAGTAGGAATTTACTGTAACTTTGGAGACTGGGCGCAGTAATGTCCCAGAGGGTTTGTAACATCATGGATGCTGACTAAGCTTACCTGATCCTCTCCAACTTGTATTAGTACACTACTTCATTCACACCAGTCATTTCACTACATTAAACTGATTGAGGTTATGCCCTTTGTACATGCTGAAGCGATATGCTATGATGAGTGGAATATGAGTTAGGATCAGTTTGGTCCGTTTCATGGCAAAAACATTTATTGATTTTGTATTAACCCTTCGGGGCTTGCGTGACCCTTATCATAGAACTGGTTTTCAGGACTGGCAGTCTGACCTATTGCCTTGCCAGCATAGGTGTACTTATATAGTTTTGCATGGTTCAGTTGCATAGTAGTGTCCGAATTGCACTGATTCTAGCCCGAGTAGTGTTCGAAAGGGCGCCCTGTTTTGACATACCTCCTGAGCCGGTACTCATTTCCTCTCTGAGCTAGCTAGTGTATATCAGTTTCTTGTTGGTGTTTTGTCTGTGTTTGTTTGTCCGTAGTAGGAATTTACTGTAACTTTGGAGACTGGGCGCAGTAATGTCCCAGAGGGTTTGTAACATCATGGATGCTGACTAAGCTTACCTGATCCTCTCCAACTTGTATTAGTACACTACTTCATTCACACCAGTCATTTCACTACATTAAACTGATTGAGGTTATGCCCTTTGTACATGCTGAAGCGATATGCTATGATGAGTGGAATATGAGTTAGGATCAGTTTGGTCCGTTTCATGGCAAAAACATTTATTGATTTTGTATTAACCCTTCGGGGCTTGCGTGACCCTTATCATAGAACTGGTTTTCAGGACTGGCAGTCTGACCTATTGCCTTGCCAGCATAGGTGTACTTATATAGTTTTGCATGGTTCAGTTGCATAGTAGTGTCCGAATTGCACTGATTCTAGCCCGAGTAGTGTTCGAAAGGGCGCCCTGTTTTGACATACCTCCTGAGCCGGTACTCATTTCCTCTCTGAGCTAGCTAGTGTATATCAGTTTCTTGTTGGTGTTTTGTCTGTGTTTGTTTGTCCGTAGTAGGAATTTACTGTAACTTTGGAGACTGGGCGCAGTAATGTCCCAGAGGGTTTGTAACATCATGGATGCTGACTAAGCTTACCTGATCCTCTCCAACTTGTATTAGTACACTACTTCATTCACACCAGTCATTTCACTACATTAAACTGATTGAGGTTATGCCCTTTGTACATGCTGAAGCGATATGCTATGATGAGTGGAATATGAGTTAGGATCAGTTTGGTCCGTTTCATGGCAAAAACATTTATTGATTGATAATGATCAATTTGATCATTTGATCAATTTGAGTAATTCTAGAAATAAATATATAATAATATGTACTTTCAAATTTTAGTAATTGGTTATGACAGAGAGTAATATTTTCAGAAACTCGATGTCTAAAACAGTATCAACTGGTACTATTGCATGGTGGAAACTAGACTTCACAGACTTCTATTGGGTTCAAAAGATTGAAATAGTTAACAGGTTGACTACACATATTATATTATTAACATTTAGCATACGTTATATAGAATTTGCAGCGAGGAGTTTGACTATTGCAAATCAACAACAGTGGAAATCTGTGAAACTAATCCTTACCAACTTAATCTTAACGTTTTACAGTTTGAAACCGTGCTGTGAAGTATGGATCGATGGAATGACAATAACAGTTCGGCTGCATGATGAAACACGTGCATACACCCTGCACTACGAGGAAAACAAGAGGGATTACGTAACAACCGTTACAAGTAGAATAAACCAAGTGAAGATAACAGGAGGAGATAACGAGCATCCCTTACAATTGGTGGAGGTCAGGGTCATGGGAGGTGAGTACCTAACTAACAAACACAACTTAGTCAGGGTCATGGGAGGTGAGTACCTAACTAACAAACACAACTTAGTCAGGGTCATGGGAGGTGAGTACCTAACTAACAAACACAACTTAGTCAGGGTCATGGGAGGTGAGTACCTAACTAACAAACACAACTTAGTTAGTGTCATGGGAGGTGAGTACCTAACTAACAAACACAACTTAGTCAGGGTCATGGGAGGTGAGTACCTAACTAACAAACACAACTTAGTCAGGGTCATGGGAGGTGAGTACCTAACTAACAAACACAACTTAGTCAGGGTCATGGGAGGTGAGTACCTAACTAACAAACACAACTTAGTCAGGGTCATGGGAGGTGAGTACCTAACTAACAAACACAACTTAGTCAGGGTCATGGGAGGTGAGTACCTAACTAACAAACACAACTTAGTCAGGGTCATGGGAGGTGAGTACCTAACTAACAAACACAACTTAGACCCATTCTAGACTGGTAATAGGATTCACGTACCAATTGAGTGTGAAGTCAATTAAATGTTCATAGATATGGATAATAGAGATTACATTCACACATAATTGAACAGCATGAGACAAGTGGAAAACAAACAAACGAATAGATTTCAAGCTCGTAAAGAATCGTTGCTTAAGATCGGAGATTTCAAAACTCTAGTTCGACAGTCCAAGTTCTCTTGTCGAACTTTAGTACGTGTCGAACTTGAGTCTAGGTAGCGCACTTCAGTTCGAATCTTAGGGTTTGTCGAACTAGAGTGCGTGTCGAACTTGAGTACATGTACCGGACACCAGTAATAGTATGGCTGTTACCAGACTGTATAACCAGCCTAATATTGTTTAAAACATTACCAGGATGGCTATACCCACTTCCCAGTGCAGGTAGGCATATTTTTCTTTTCTAGACTAGTAATACTAGCCACGGTGGTAACACCTAGTATTACTAGTCTAGAATTGGTCTTAAACTTTTTGCTATTATGGTAATTTTACACTCATAAGTTAATTTTGCTTACCATTATCTGCTTACTCTTTCTAATATCATACATTTTCAAAAGCAAGCTTTCCCCAGTCAGTCCCATTTCTCAGTCACATTCCAATTAGTCCCGGGTATCAAGATAACAAGTTTCCTGCTTGCCTTGTTATAGCCCCACATTCCACACCACGCTCAACATGTCACTTCAAACTCAGGCGAAATATTAACAGTAGTGTGTACATACCACCGTAACAACAGTGTGAAGTGTTGTGTGTAAGGTACCGGAATATACATTGTACATTGTATACATGCCATATATTTGAATTTGGTTGTCAAGCCTTTTTGCCTAGGAAATTCGGGAATTATTTGCTGACATGTTACTTGATGTTTTGTTAACACATCCTGAATTTCAGTTGCGTGTAGCTACACACAGGGACAAGTAAAAGGGGAGAATGGAGACTGTAAGACTTGTGGTGCTGGACAAGGTCCTAATCAGGAAACCACTCTCTGTGGTATGTTCAGATTTATAAAAAAACGGGATGTTAAGTAAAATTTATATTTTATTATATTTTATTATATTTTATTCATATTATATTTTGAAACTTTTAACATGTTTAACTTTAAGGCCTAATAACTTTGAAGTTTCATCGCGAAATAATTCAAGTTCTTTCAGATAATTCTTGAGTAAAATAACCTATTTTTAAGACACCTTATACATTGTCCATTATCGAATATCGAAGTTTCGGCTTTTCGGTTTTGAATAACCACAAGCTGTGTTAAGGAGTAAGCTGGTTATAAAACCCTTTTAAATCCACACCACCACTAAGACATCAATCAGCAAAAACATCGTTCAAATCCGGATAATATTTATTAGATAGAGTCATCAAAGCAGGCAAAGAGTCATCATCAATCGTGCAATCCCTTGTAGTTATAATATTTATTGCAGTTGACTGTGATAAAGGACACTACAAAGGTGATTACGACGTGCGAGCGGTGCAGTGGTAACAGCTACAGTAGGATCACAGGAGCGGAGAGTTGTACAGATTGTACGGGAGGGTTTGTGTCACGTGACTCAACTGAGTGCAGTACCGGTGAGTGGGACATTTACTTAACGGACCTTTACCGATTGTTGAAATTCGACATCTAGCGTCATTTCACGCTAGATGTCGAATTTCAACAATCGGTAAAGGTCAAACTTATCTTCAGGAGTAGAGGCTTTTAAATATAGACTTGAAGTCATCGCAATTTAATATAACTACTTTAAAGTAGTAAGTCAGGGTTAGTCTCAAGATCAAGGATTAATGAAACTGAGTGGGAATTGGGATAAGTTACTAAACTTAAAAGCCGTCCTCCCAAATGCCTCGTTTTTTACCAAACTTTACATCATCCTCCGTGTTCAATAAGCCTCTTTTCCTGTTATCAGTTATGCACCAATAATTCAAGGAACCCCAAAGCCCAGAGGTCCTACGCCATAAAACGGATAACATACAAATTTGTCAACTTCAAAACATTTCTTAACCAAGATATCAGACGAATATTTTTTAAAGTACTTTCTTAGCTTAGTCTGTTATTAATTTTAATACGCCAATAGTTAAAATATAGCAAACTGACGATAAATCAATGAATGTTTGTGGGTCCAGTCCATAAGATAGGAGTGAATCATAGATTTTTTATGTATTGCTTTTCTGAACATAAATTTTTAGAGTAAAACGTATCTACGACATTTCATTAAATGTTGAGAAGCGACATTATTATAATGTCGCTTTATAATGATGTATAAAGCGACATTATACATTATTATATGATATGTATAATAGACAATAGTCTAACCTGCGGAGAGAAGATCGTAAGCCATTGATTGGAATGTCAACTCATGGAGAAAGGGAGAGATGGGATCAAAACCTCTATCCAGGATTATTAGTTGTGATTTGTTGTTAGCTGTTAGGATGTCAGCTTCTTTGTATTTTTCTAAGGGATTTATAATAATTATTAATTTAATTTATATCATTTTATCAGTTTCTTATGGTTTGATTGAGATCTTATAACATGACATTTTAAAGTCACATTTTGCGTTTTTATTTCCATCACAATACATAGTCTCAAAATATGTGATAAAATAAATATCTGATAAAACTATGCTTAGCTTAGGAATGATGAAACATAGAAGGTTCGCGTCATAAATAAATACAGAAATTGTTAAACAAACAAAAAACGGCATACGTACCTAGTTTAGCTTGAACTTTAGTAGCGAGCTTCTTAACACAGTCCAGGTTACTGTTACATGTCCTTACTTTGGGACACGGTGATTCATCTAGTGTAGCACAGACTGTCACCTAGGATAAACTTATCTCATTTTACGGAGAAGAGATATTTAAATGCAGACTTTACGTGATTGAACGAATGGTTAATATTATATAGTGTATGAGAGATTGAGAGTTGCCGAAATGAGACTAGATTAAATTTTGGTGTTACAAATTCAAAAGTCAATAAAAATTGCCGAGTTAGCTGTCCTTACATTTTAAGTTTAAGAGTTTATTAAATTTAAAAGCTTCTAGCTAAGTGTTTTAAATATATTTTAAGTTTATCTTCCCAAGATTCCGAAAGTTCTCGTGTTTTAGAACCACATTTTAAGTTCCTGCATATTTAAACTTTATCTAGAAGAAATTTATAAAACTTTATAAAGATAATAACATTCATAATAATTAAAGTAAAACTTCAAGTTTAAAAGTTTAAAAGATTATAATAAGTTCATTACCAGCTGCTCAGCTATTTCGTCTAGTCTCTTGTCAGTCATTTTACCACCGTAATATTCGTTATAAGCAGCCGGGTTGTCGAGAGAGAATACACGCTCTTCTATTGGTAGAAATGCCAAATTCAGCTCCTTTACTGAAATGTTATTAGTTAGAAATGAAATTAATAATAAACTAATAACCACACGTACACTACAAATCTATTACATTTATTGAGGACGTTACAAAAGGAATATATTAAATGTAGTCCGAGGAGTCCTAACTCTCCTCGCGTCCAAAGACGGCGTTTCTCATGTCTCATTATACAAATTGTAGAATTTACTTGTTCTCGCTTCGATAAAATTTACAGAATAAATTAGTAAGTTATTTAACTTCTTTGTTAATACTATAAATAGCTATTACGTGATTCTATTTGCATCAATTACCATAGCGTCCGTAATATTTTCTATCGAGAACAATAATTCCTAATTTGAAAGTGAAAATTTTAAACGGATTTAGATAACTCTATTAAAAAGCGTCCAAGACATATTATTGAACTGACCGAGTCCCATTATAACTAGTCATGATTGTCAAATCTATATTTATTTATGTCAAAAATGTAGAACACTCATTAACTCGGACAGCTGGATCTGACAAGTCTGGTCGTATATTTGCCAGATGGTTAGAGTTTCTAATAGAACCATGCCCACCCCCTGATTCACAAAGATAATGAACTTAAGTTGTGACCAGATTAAAGGATGATTTTAATGGACAATATCCGGTAAAAATTATCGAATATCATTTTAAAATCTGATCATGTAGTACCACAGTAGATCGGAAGTCTTTGCCAATACTGGGATTGGAAAAATGTAAGTAAACAGCTTACTAATTAAATAATGAGTAGAAATAGTCGAACATATAAATTCTAAAAGGTTGCCTCTATCACGTAGCAGGCAATAAATTGGGTTGCATTGGCGGATGTATATTACAAGTTTAAGGCACACTCTCAGTGTTAAGTTTGCGTTTCATTACGTGAGACACCGCTAAACAGCAAAACATTTCGTTATCTCAGTTCAGATTGATTCCCTGTACTGGGCGAGGAGGTTTATCGATTTAGGTCCGAATTTAGGTCCGAAATCAGATAAGGAACTAAGGTTTAAACAGCTGAATGATAAAAGAGTTTCACCTTATCTAAGATAAGCTCATACATACAGTGTTCCATAACCTTGCGTCTTACTGATCAAGTAGGAATGTTAAATATCTCTGTACCTCTAAATTCCGTGAAGTTTCCAGTAAGTACCTAGAGAGGGAATGTAGAAGACAGTGTTTAACTGTAAATTCTTAACTAAAAAATAAAGTAACCTCAAAATTAGCAGAATCTGAGAATTTGATTCACTGAGTCACATATGAAATTCTAGAACCTTCGGAGGGGCACAGGTATTTATTTTTTATTTTCAAAATTCAAATAAACTTTACATCAATGTATTACAGTTACATTCAATAAAAAAGACTACAATATCTCCTGTGAAGCAAAAAAATGGAAAAAGAGAGCTAGAAAAATATTCATGATACTCAACACTACCAGACTCAGCTGGAGTGAGAAACAATATGTAAAAACATCAAAGTAAAATTCATTTCGGCTGAACCAAAACACGGTGGTAAGACCATATTAATTACATTGGTGCCGACTAAGTGGTATTACAAACATTTTGTTTGTATTACAAACATTTTGTTGCAGCCGGGATGAAGTGATAGTTTAGATACACATAATAATATTATATATTATATATCCAATAAGTATTTCAATCATGAGACTAATAAACAGCGAACTAATCCATCATTTGATAGGGAAATAACATTCAATTCAGTGAAATTTTGGCAAAATATTGTATAGTAAATAATTAAATATTTCTCAATTTAGAATTACCAGAGGCTATTATGTTTATAACATGTAAATATGTATCAAAATACAATAAAGTATAAACATTGGAGCTGCTCCCGTTTATTATATACAAAGTCAAGATAGCCTGCCAACATTATCATAATCAAGTTAATAATAACAGTGTAAGTCGATACATTCAGAAGAAGGGGAAACTTGATATGCAATAGCAGGCCAGATACTATGATATCCTAATTTCTTATATTGTCATAACTCACGTACTACACATACCACTCTGCGACAGTGGCGTAACGGAGGGCCCCGCTGTGCGGGGGGGGGGGGGGGGGCGCCGTCTTAGGGGGGCGCCAAATCGTCGTTTGAATGTGGGACAATTTCGAAAACTTAACTAAAGTACTAGCAAAACTGCGCGTTTTGCTCTAGATACACACTTTTTTAGAGATTTTACCGGCGCGGCGTATCCGCTAAAATCACCTAATTTGTTCAATTTTAGGGAGGGGCACCAAAAGGGGAGGGGGCGCTTTTTCGGCGGGGGGGGGGCGCCAACAGGCAATGTTACGCCACTGAACTACGCGATACAAATTATAATGGAAATTCAAATCTAGCTGAGACTGAGAGCACACCACCTTTTTAATGAATGCAAATAGTAAATATTTTGGTTCTCACTTCACTCGCATTCCAACCTTCACTCGCATTCCAACCTTCACTCGCATTCCAACCTGATTGTTAATTTTAAATATTTTACGTTCTCAATTTCGGTCCGGAGCTACGTGACGGTCATCGTTATTTTGAAGAATATACAGTAAAAAAGAGAATGTTGACAATATAATATTTCTGGGTTAAAGTTGCAATACACCCAGCTAACTATTCTACAAGTAGTTCTAATGAAGAACATGGTATCGTGGAAATAGGCCAGACAGTAGACATGTGGATTGCGGGTTTTGGTTTGGGTTTCGCCACATAGGTCCAGGATCGAGATCAGAATATGCAGGGTGCGGGTGGCTCAGAGTAAATCACCACCCTGTATACCGGACAAATAGGCAAGACAAGCCACCCCCCCCCCCCCCCCCCCCCCATGACATGCAGGTACTAACCAGTTTGAACGAAGGGAGCTATATCTGATTTAGCTATATCCTTCAGCATCTCATCTGGTATGATCTCCGTGAAGAATAAGTGAGCATTTTTGTAAAGTCTTCCAGAGTATTCCTGAGAGTAATAAGCTTGTACATGTAGATTGTAGAGTTGAAAACGGGATTATTTTTTCTTGAAATCGATATAAAATATCATAAAAATGATATGAGCTTTTACGTCGGAGCACTTAGCCAAGCACTTAGCTTCAAATCTTTTCAAATCTTCGGTGAAAAAAAGAAATGATTCAAATCTGCTGTCAAAAACCAAGCGACAAATTCTGAATGTATTCTTACCCTGACTTCGCCGAAATCTTTCTTGATATGGCCAATATTCTCCTGGTTAGGTCTCACAAAGTATACCGCATCAAGATAGGTCAGAGGCTGTCTTGCTTTTGACAGGTCCTGACAGGTGATAGAAAATGGTAATTAATTTCCTGTTTAAATCGCTAGGAGCCCAAACGGCAGAAATATATTTGCTTTAAATTAAAGAGATTTTACCTCTCAGCTCCCATTGATTTAATATATATATATTATATATGGTACTAAAGTTGCACTTATGTTAAAAGAGTGTAGAGTAGTGATAGTGGTCAAGTAGTCAAGTAACCAAAATAAAGTTTACAGGTCCTCTCGCTTAATGAGCTGTTAAAGTCACTATTATGTCCTCCATACTCCAGATGTTCTTTAAGTTTTAAGTTGCTCGCTTTATAATGATCCCTATTTTCATATTATATTCAAGCAATTAAATTTCAAATTTTCCGATAAAGAATGATGTAATATATCTCAGAATTGCCATTAGGTTCATATTAAAATATAAACGGCAAGTTCTTTAAGGGAGCAATTTGATCAAGAAACAACTGGAAGTATTCAAAGTTCAAAAGTTGTAACACCTCCCTATATTCAAACCTTACGTATTGAAAATAATTCGGTCAAATGATAGCTGCTGCATGGCAGCACTCTCTACAGTCAACAAGACTATGTGCTTTGTTAATAATAATAATAATAATAACTAGAAATTTATACATCGCTTTATAGCCAATACAAAGAGAACTCAAAATCTAAATATTCAGTTCAAGCCCTCTAAAGCGACTCATGAACAATGAACATGTACATAAGAACTTAGCATTAATAAGATAAATTAATAAGATAAATTAAATAAAATTGATCTGTCTGTAACAGCTTTTGTCGAGTGCTTGAGCTTGAGTCTACTCAAGTATAAATCATCGAGCAGTAACCCTCGCTCAAAATCAGCCCTTTTAATAAAACTAAATTCGACATCACCGCAAACAAAATAGATATAATTATGTATAATTATTATAATTATGTATAATTATTACAATTATGATATGATTATTATAATTATGTATTCTTTTTATTACCTCGATCAGTGTGATCCCATTATCCAGCATGTCCTTCATCTTCAAACAAGTTGATATTATCTTCTTCCCTAACGTGTCAACAACGAGAATCTGAGATTATAAGTTTTTAATATGTATATTATTATATAATATGTAATATATGTAATATATAATAATATGTAATATTATTATATAATGTTATGTAAGTTAAAACATAAGTTTTATCTGTCAGGCAGTGATTTTATCTGTCAGGCAGTGATTTTATCAGTCAGGCAGTGATTTTATCAGTGCAGTGTAGGAATATTTTTTGTCGTTATCATAATAAGATTAGTTTCCTTATGCAGCAAAGGGAGGAGTACTAGAACATTTGCCGGCTAGAAAGGGTCAGAGGGATTAAATAAGTCTAATGCACAGATAGTCGCTATAAGTCTAAAACACTGCCGTACTTCCTCAGATTATGTTACACAAACACATGATGCTCTACGGGCTCCATTCAACATAATATCATGATTAGCTACTTAACCTAGATCTCTAAAGTATTCGCAATCAAACCAAACTCGGCCAGGTCAAAGATTAGCAATGTTAAATAATTCAATAATAAAATTGTCTGACCTTCCATTCGCCTCGGATGTGGAGGGGTCTGAACATGTCATCGACAATAATCTTTCGTGCTGCATCCTTGAGGGACATGGTTTCTTGGTGTTACTATTATAGTCTTCTTCTCTTTTGAGCGGCTTATCACGTCCAAGAATACATCCCTAGGTACGGAGTTACAATTTTAAGATGAAAGTTGAAAGTATTATATTGTGTTGATATATTATAAAGCAGTGAGTCTTTATTCCTAAAGGGTGTCGCACATTTCAATCTTTATCTTAGTATGTATTGTATCATGACCATATAATTGATTACAACATGCACAATATTCGTATTCATGTAAAATACCCGATAATAAATCTTATACAGTGATTATGTAAAGTGTAAAGAATAATAGGCGATTTAGTTTAAAATTTCAATAAATAGGTATTAAAATAATAACAATATAAATCAATTTGAAACCAGTCGAGTGGAGAGGCCCTTATAAATGGTAACTATAGTGGTTACTATGGTTACTAACAGTATGCCTTGTTAAAATCACGCTGGTTTATGATTTTAGAATTGTTCGTACAGTTATGTTTACACACGTGCTGAACATTTGTGAACATGTAGCAGTCTCATATTTAAATAACAGCAGAGCTTCTAGGCATAAGCTTGGGCCTCTCGACTAAACTATCATGTTCCCGATAAAGATGATCATCTGGTAAGATATTTGCCAAACAAAGTGATTTATTTAATTCTTACATAAACCGAAAGGCCAATCAATTACGATCAGCAAACATGTCTGACTTGAACGCCATAGACGATATATTTACCATTAAATTTTTTAATAACAAATATTTCCATAGCTAAACGATGCCCGAAAAGTACTTAGTAAATTTATACCGCACTACAAACTTCAATTCATATCTATCGTTATTTCAACAGACGTTACACACTACTTAGTGGTATGAAATTCTACCTCATTTTTCCAGAAATAATGTAAAATGTAGACATATTGTATAGAAATTAGAACTTCAGTACTCGATATTAAGTTGCAAACTAAATAAAAAAATTGCTGTCAAAAGTGAATGACAAAAAATGAGTTGTTATTCCCATAATAACTTCTAAAAATTAGGACGGAAGTATAAAGATAATTGTGCCTAAAATAGAATTAAATGAACGTTATAAAACATCCACCTATGTTGACATAGGATTTCAGGGTTTCAGGATTTCAGGGGATCTAAATGGGCCAACACAACTCCACGGCAGCACACAAACTTAGAGAACACATAAAACACCATGAATATCAATCTGCATTATCTCTTTAACGTTAAATGAACCTCTGATTAACAGCAGTTCTGACAAATACACAGAATAATAATCCTCATCAATTGTTTTCCTTTATTTCAATCTGAACATTTAACAAAATCCTGAGCTTCCACCAGTTCTCCCATGAAGTAGATTTCCAAGTTACAAACTCTAATGATAATCTGACAGTAAGCCTTTCTTCAGGTCCTGATCCTCAGCATAGCTTCCCAGATCCTGCTTTTCTGATTTCACTTTAGATGAAGTACCCTCGATATCATCTATGCTCTCATCAAAACAGGGTGTTAGCAGAAGGACCATACCAAGGATGAAACAGAGCATGGCCAACCCTGTCATGATGAGATCAGTACGCCTATCAAAGACAGTCCACGACATGAACGTATACGAGATGACTTGGTTGTTCTTTGTTTTGAGTGACAAGTTCTTAGAGTACACTGGCTCTCCGTTTAAGTACAGGGCATAGATGACTGAATTTTTTGAACTGTCCACAATCATCACCGACTCTGTTGTCTGTTTTGCTCCCTGACCACGACTTCGGAGAGAGAAAAACTCTTGGATCGACTTGCCCCAGTTCTGAGGGTTTTTTAGAATGTAAATTAAACTATTGCTCATTAACGAGAAGTTTTACAATGAAAATTGAAAGCTTAAAATTTTCGTTCCACTTTACAATATTAGAGTAACGCTTTATGTCAAGAATAAAGATAAGGATATATTTGGATGTACAGTTATAAAAGTTTACATATTCAGACTAAAGAATTAAAAGATTTAATACTAACTTGTAGAGTTGAAGCGGAGCACCCTTCAGACAAACAACCCTTAAAACAAGCAGCCTGTTGTACCGCAAGAGAAAACGTGTCTTCACAGTGACTGTAGCATACTTCGTCCTCTTTCACTATTCGTCTTATCTGGAAATATTGATGTCAGACTGTGACAGTCACAGCTAACTACAGAAGACTACAGAAGACTACAGAAGACTACAGAAGACTACAGAAGACTACAGAAGACTACAGAAGACTACAGAAGATCCTTGGTGTCCATTAAATTGACGAAAACTCTTACCTCTTCACCATATCGGCATCCAGGTTTCAAATTGGAACATAAACCATTACAGAAACAAGAAGACCTTGCAACTTCCACAAGCGATAAGCCGATCAGAAAAATTGAAATGAATGTCACCATGCTGAAAATATATATATTTTGTTGAAAGACATTATGGTTAAAAAATATATTCAGTATATTATGGCTATATACTTGATACAAAATAATGAATTAAATTAGAACAGCTGTTTGACAATTTGACTAGGCACCATTTTACAGATTCCACAGTCTCACCAATCAATCAAATGAATAAAAGGTAACCATTATAGCAACAAAAATAGCTCATTTCTACTCAGTATTAACATCTATAATAAACAACATAAATAATAACAACAACAATTCTACACAACAATTCTAAATAAAAATGTAAAACTCAAATCAGAAAACTAAAATCAATAAAGGCTAAAGTATAACAAACTCTAGTAAACTATGAAAAATAACATCTTATATATGAGTTAAATTACCTTCGAGACTTACACCACAATTATATACATTACAACTGCAAGCCAAGAGCAGTCAATCTTTCATTCCTTTCCCCCATTTAAGGGGTTTTTATCCAATTTCCTTGTTTTATTAATTTGTTTCAGATTTAAAATATTGTAACCAGCCTTACTTCTATGTTTAACAAGTGCCTTACACGTCTAACATGCATGTTGACTTCACAAGAAAAATGAATTGTTTAAACTTTAGTTTTAAATTCATCCCTGACTTGAGTCAAAATTTTACCCAATAAATTCAATCCTTTCCAATTTTTCTTATTATCAATGGCAGGATTCTTAATTGATAATCCTATACCCCAAATCACATCTCCACCTGATGCTTCAACTAACGATGTAGTTCCAGTCTCAAGCAAACGTTCTTTTAAATCAGCATTTTGACCAAACTTTAAGAGGTTGCCTTGTTTCGCAATGATCTCTCTTTGTCCAATCCAAACTTCATCTGAGAACCCTTCAACTCTTCTACCCAAAGCTTTTATTTTGCTTGGAAGGGTTTCTTCCAGAATGAGATTGGCAATTTCCAAATCATCAAAAAGTTTTGCTTTACGATACATCATGTATTGCTCAGCACAGCAAAAAGTTGTACCTTCTTCGGTAAACTCGCACTTGTAGAATTGACTAAAAGGAGTTTGTGCAGTGTAGAAGAACGTATAATCTTTCGTTATTTTGATGGGTGGTGCTTTTTTGGGTGGCATGATTACCTGAGGTTAGTTAATAGTTGTTATTGCACTGTAAAAAGATCTAAAATTGTTAGTTCTCATTTTATTATAACTCTCACTCCAATACTTTAACTCGATTTAGGACTCTGTAAATCTTAATCTAAATCTTAGTTTAACCCTTGCTTGCTATGTAACTATAACTACAAGCCTGATTTAATTTTAATTGCTTCCGGTCAGACCGATAGTGGAAGATATTGATAAGCCATCGAAATACAAACGATATTTACTGGATGCTGGAGTTCATTTAGTGTGATATATAATTAAAAGTTTATCAAACAATATACACATAATTGGTAGTAAATGATTGCTTTTTTTGGAATGTTTCTAATGAAGTTTTAGTAAGAATTGAGGGAGCCAGTTATGTCAGTAATAAAGAGAAACATAACAATTATCTTTGGTTCCATCCTTATGTGGCAAAGAAGCGTTTTATAAATCTTTATTCCACTGGGAAGTTTTTAAAATAGGATAATGTTTTTGATGAAATTATTTTTAAATATTGTATTTGATAATTGATTAATGTTGGTGGGGAAATATTTATTATATATTTTTTCACACAGTGCGATGATATTTTGTAGACATGTGTGATGATGTGATGTCATAAATTTTACTTTACTTACTTTTACTTTAGTAATGGTTATTGTCCAGCTATAAGGTTGGACACATTTGAAAAATTAAAAACCAATACAATAAATGCAATAAAAAGTTAGAAAGTTTTTAAAACCAGGGTAGAAAAAAAATTTACAATTGACAATATACGAATTAGTCAATAAAAATAGAGTTCAGTGTGATATATACATCTTAGATAGCAAACCTGGGATAAGAATTTAATGAGACTTCCACGTGGCAAGGCTGGCAAAGATTTCATCATTGAGCTAACCAGACTGTTCACTATGTTCACCCCTGACTCCGTATGGGAGAAAGTTTCACTTTCCCTTGTCCAGATATTTATTCCTCTGCTCCTTCAGAAACCATCAGCAAGGTCCAAAGCCCGTGAGAACAACAAATATCTGATCTCCAGGCTTCAGAAATGGGATGTTGGAGACATAGAAGGACTGTTGTCAGAATGTAGAATGATACAGAGCCGCCTTCAGAAGATAAATGTTACTAAAGATTTCAATGAAAAGAAGGCGTTCTGCCGGAGAATGCTCCAGGGTAAGGTAAAAGAAGCCACACGACTAATAGACAATGAGAAGAGAACAGGCATTCTTCCTATTAATGATGACACAATCAAACAGCTGCGAGAAAAACACCCTCCTGCAACGAAGCGTGATGGGCCAGAGAAACATCCAACAATTGACATAGAACCTGTACTGTTTGAAGAAATTGACAGTGAAGCCATCAAAGCTGCTGCCAAGAATACCCATGGATCAGGAGGCCCCACTCTCATTGATGCTGACGGTTGGAAACACATTCTATGCTCAAAGAGCTATGGAAAATGCAATGATACCTTAGCTCAAGCCATAGCCGATGTTACTAAAAGATTATGCACTGAAACCATTGCACCAACCATGCTCAGTGATCTTCTTGCAAGCAGACTGATCCCCTTAGACAAGCGACCAGGAGTCAGACCTATCGGCATTGGTGAAGTCTTGCGAAGGATTATGACAAAAACAGTTACAAGAACTATCAAAGAACACATTAAGGAGGCAAGTGGCTCCCTACAAACCTGCAGTGGCATTGAATCAGGTATAGAAGCCGCAGTTCATTCAATGGCCGAGAACTTTGCCAACAAAAACAGCCAAGGCCTTCTCCTAGTTTTTTAATTCAAAAGTTCAATCTTCTGTACCATCTCGTACGGTAACTGATGGCAATTTCAATAAAACGAAGTTTAAACAATACCTCAAGGGCAGAGAAAGAATAGTGAACTCTTTTTTCTCAGCCCCTGTGACGAGGAAGAGATAAGTAAAATTATTGGTAGCCTTGAAAATGGGAAGGCAAGTGATATCTCTGTTAAAGTCTTGAAAAAGAGTGTAAATTATCTGTCTGGTCATATCTCTAGATTCTTTAATTGGTTCTTGGACAATGGGGTCTTTCCAAACAAGCTTAAAACGGGCTCTATTACACCAATTTATAAAAAAGGAGACTCACGATGCCTTGATAACTATCGACCTGTTTCTACATTACCGATATTTGGCAAAATACTTGAAAAAATAATTTATAATAGGTTATATAATTACCTCAGTGCTATGAACGTGATTTATGATCGACAATTTGGTTTTAGAAAACAACACTCAACATCTCATGCCGTAAACTATTCTGTCAATAAAATACTTAATGAGATTGAACAGAAAAATCATGTAATTGGAATATTTATTGATCTAAGTAAAGCATTTGACACAATTGAGCACGATAAACTCCTGCATAAACTTGAACACTATGGAGTAAGAGGTATTGCACTAAAAACTCTTGCTAGCTATCTAACAAACCGTAGCCAAGTAACTTCTTTTCAAACTGAAAAATCGGACAAGTGTTCAGTTGAGTATGGTGTACCCCAGGGGTCAGTGTTAGGACCTCTACTATTTCTGATTTATATAAATGATATTGTGAGCTCCTCAAGTTTGGCTGAATTCGTCCTGTTTGCTGATGATACAAATATTTTTGTGATAGGTCGTTCAGCACAGGAAGCTTTTGTAAAAGCTAATCATGTAATGAAACAGGTCAGTAACTATATGGAGTCTAACAAGTTACATATAAATGCAGGGAAAAGTTGTTTTATGCATTTTCAGCCAGGTTTGTCAAGAGCAACACAGACCTGTGCTAGAACACGGCCCTTTAACAGGAATCTAACGATTTCAATAGATGGCAAAAAGCTAGAAAAAGTTCAATGTACAAAATTTCTTGGGGTGATAATAGACGAACAGCTATGTTGGGAACCACATCTTAATCATTTATCTTTAAAGCTGAACTCCAGTATTGTATCGATTAAGAGAATTTGCAAATTCATTCCCAAATCTGAATATTTGAAACTATACAATGCTCTTTTTATGTCACATCTTAGCTATTGTATAAGTTGCTGGGGTGGGATCCCTAAACATAAGCTGAATAAAATCTTTGCTATTCAAAAACGATGTATACGACTGCTATTTGGTAACATTCCCAATTTTGATCATAAAGAATACTACTTAACCTGTGCACGTTCAAGAACTTATAACGAACATATGGCTAAAAAGAACTACTGTCTTGAACACACTAAACCGCTATTCACTGAGCAGAAAATTATGAACCTGGAGAATCTGCACATGTACCATACATTTATGGAGCTATTCAAAATTCTTAAATTTGATATCCCCCAGTCGATTAAAGATCTTTTCAAGTTCTGTCCTAGAAATGAAAAACTTCGTCTGATTGTCCCATTACTGAGGTTAGATATCTCCCAACAGAACTTTTTGTACACCTCTACGAAAATATGGAATGATCTCATCCCCTATGTATTCGAAATATGTGATGCTAATGTAGATGGGATAATAATCCCGGGGTCTTCCAAAAATTCAGACTTATCAGCCTCGTCAGGTATTATTAAATCTAACCTTAAAAAGCACTTGCTATCCCTCCAAAATCGAGGTGACCCTAATATATGGTAACTAATCTATATTATATCTCAAATTCTACATCTGGTACGGCTCTGCACACATGATATCTCTCTCTGCCATGAAACATGGCTAACCTTTCAAACTATGATTTAAAACATAAACCTAAACTAAAACTCAACTGGGCTCTCCTATGTCACCAAACTAGACCAATAAGCAATTTTAGCTTAGATAATTATATTTTTCTATATTTGTATAATAAGTTTTATATTGACGTAGTGGATGGTTGAGGGGGTTTCAAGCACAGGTCACTCTCAAATCCTAAAGATAAGCAGTGGCCTTCGGCACTTGAAACCTCTTCAAACCTCCCCTGATTTATTTATTATTGATATTGTTTGATTGTGCCGTAAAAATAAATATTTGTTTTATTAAATATTTGTTTTATTAAAAAAGTTGATGCATCAAATGCGTTCAACAGTTTACACCGAGAGCTGGCTCTTGATACTGTTGCAACAACCTGCCCTGTGTTTCACCAGTTCCTTAAAAATACCTACCAAGCAAAGACAAAGCTCTTCATCTCCGGCTTAAAGTCCGGGGAGTTCATCTGGAGTGAAGAAGGCAACACACAAGGAGATGTTGCAGCAATGCAATTTTATTCCATAGCCACCAGACCTATAATAGATGATCTGAAAGCCTATGCAGAAACAACTATGGTGTGGTATGCTGACGACAGCTCTGCATGTGGAAGCTTCATCCAACTGCTCCATTGGTGGAATAGACTCTGTGAAATAGGCCCAAGATATGGGTACCGCCCCAACGCAAAAAAGACAATTCTGATTGTTAAAAATCCCGATGAGCTAATAGAAGCAGAAACCCTGTTTAAACACCTGGGAGTTAAGATCACGACAGCCATCTTGGTGCTGTTGTAGGCTCAAAAGAATTCAGGGAAGAGTACATCAGAGAAAAAGTCGAAAAATGGATAGTTGATATTGATCAACTAGCAGATGTAGCGACGGAAGAACCACAACTGGCTTATTCGGCCTTTACTAAAGGAATATGCCACAGATGGAGATACTACATGCGTACTATACCAGACATTGGAGAGCATTTTGTCCCAAGTCTAGAGAGCAAGATCATGCATGTGCTCATTCCAGCCCTCCTCGGTCGCCCTGTCAACCAGCATGAAAGAGATATCCTTGAACTCCCTGTTCGATATGGAGGCCTAGGTATCATCAATCCCGTCAGGATATCATCTCGTGAATATGCATTCTCAGTGGCACTCACTAAAGATCTTGTGAGTTTAATCAACCAACAAGACCAGGATATCACCAAGCTGGATATGGGCAAGATGAAAGAAAAGAAAGAAGGACTGAGAAAACAGAAAGATGAGTTTCTATCACAAAGGTTCAAGATGCTTTATAATGGGTCAGATCATCTTCTTAAGAACCACTTAAACCAAGCAAGAGAGAAGGGAGCATCAACATGGCTTTCAGCATTACCTCTAAAGGACCTCAACTATGTTCTAAACAAGCAAGAGTTCCAAGACAGCATACGCCTACGCTATGGATGGAAGATCCAAGGAGTGCCCTCTAATTGTGCTTGCGGACATGCAAACAGTGTCTACCACTCCCTTGATTGTAAATTAGGTGGATACGTTTGCATGCGCCACAATGCCATTAGA